GTGGTCTAACCAAAGCAGAATAGAGCATGGGGAGCATGACTTCCCTAGATCTAGACACTATGCTCCTATTGTCTTGCCTTCTTCACTCATTGGGAATGGAGAGAGAATAGGGGAGTGCTCCTTTAATTGAAGGGGAAATGCTGGAGAAAAGGGGGAGCGTCGGATAAGACGGAAAGTCGGATAAGCAAAGGTTGGATAAGCGAGACTCTACTGTATTTGTATCGCACTTTATTTTTTTGGGGGGGGGGGGGATATTTTACGGAATCTATCAACGTGGGAGAATATGAGACAGGTTCTGGCAGCTGTCTCGTCCACCCAAAACACGTCCTGGGAGTCGGATCCCTGCAGGATCCCTTCCCTCCCACATTTGGGGCAGGCTTTGGCCTCTCAGCTTGCGCTCGGGGCAGCGGTCTTTTGACAGAGCCGGGCCAGGAGTCCCGCCATTTGCAAGAGCGAATTCACCCCTTCCGCGATCTTCATGTGCGTGTAGCCAATCTCCTAGCCAAACAGAAGAAGAGAAAGAAGACATCAGGAGATGCGGAACTGCAGGACTCGGGCGTCAAGACCCGCCGGCCGCGTCCATCCTGACATACCACAAAATCCTCCAGATCTGGTTTCCTTGTGTGTTTTTGTTGCGAAAAAGAGGTTCAAGCTGCTCTTAAGTATAATAAATAAAGACTTCTGTGTGTCAAGTAAATTCGCTCATTTAAGTGGTCAAACCCAATGTTATTTCTGATCCCCTCTCCCCTTATGAACACCCACCTTAATGAATTCCAGCTTCAGGTACTCAGCCATTTGGAAGGTTTTGCACACCCTGAAAATGTTGCCGATGATGTCTTCGGGGGAGTAGCCCAGCTTCCATAAATGGGCCAGGATCTGGATAAAGTAAGGATACAAACCCATCGTTCAGCTGTAGTTTGGGATGTTACGATTATCAGCGGCCCCATTTGAGTCCCTTGGGGAGATGGTGGTGGGGTATAACTAAAGTTGTTGTTGTTGTTATATTATAGACCAGTGGTTCCCAACCTTTTTTTGACCAGGGACCACTCTGACCAGGCACCACCACTCTCCAACATTATTACCAAAAGGGTTATGAATCAATTTCTGGGGTTCTGATTCAGAAAATGGCATTGGACAGACCCCATCAGCTCTGGTTTCTGATCCAGAACATATGCCATCCAGTACTCGTCATCTGCTCATCCACAAAAAACCATATTTAATAAACCTCGGCACTATAAGAGGGTTTCACGACACCAGTCGCTCTCGTTGTAACGGTATAGTAACAGTGAGGCCGTGAACCAAAGACTAGAATTCCTTCAGAAAGTTT